TAATGCCAGTAGCTCACAAAGCGGAAGTTTTGCTCACAAGACTCCACAGCTTAGAGCAGGGGTGTCAAACATGCGGCCTGGGGGCCGGATGAGGCCCCCGGAGGGTTTCTATCAGTTCCACAGTGGAACTGGCTGTCTTCTGCTTCTTCTTCCAGTTCTGCTGCTGCTGTGTCATCATATTTGCAACAGCACAGACATTTTGAGGCAATAATTCAGAGCAAGAGGTGTCAGTTATCAGACACTGTTAAATAAACAAAATATTGCAAGAGTGCTAATGTTTTAAGCATGTTTTATTTTAAGTAAAAAAAAAAACCCTTTTGTGTTTGTGTCCTTTATAAAGTTTATATCTCCGCTACCTGGCATTACATTTTATGACACACATGGCCCGGCCCAACGAGGTCGCATTTATGTCAGATCTGGCCCTCATAACAAATGAGTTCGACACCCCTGGCTTAGAGGGAGCACTGACTCAGTGCCAGTGTTCCCTCTAAGTTGAGTTAGTGTGAGCCAGCTCACAGTTTTTTAGCCTCCGGCTCACACATTTTTGCCTTCGCTCGGGAAGGATGGCTCCAGAGCAAACCGATTTATGCAGTAGCCAAATCGCTGGCTCACAACTTTAATGCCAGTAGCTCACAAAGTAGAATTTTTGCTCACAAGACTCCACAGCTCAGAGGGAGCATTGACTCACTGCCAACGGAAGATCCATCTTTACCTTCTTGTCGTGACGTATCCAGACACAGCAGCGTTCGGGAAACGATGGCCGAGGCAGCCTCACTCAGCACATCCCTTTCTGGCTCGTTTCTAACCTCTCCTATTTTCCACATCATGGCGTCCACTGCATAGTGGTGGAAGGCCACGAAATCCCCTTTCCCGCAGCACTTGCATCGATGAGCGTCGCTCTCCAGGTAACTGGCGCACTTGAGGTGCAACTTGCTCTTCTGGCTCTTGAGCCAGAGCTCGTAGGCCGCTTCCCGCAGCAGCGGGGTGCAGAATCCCATGAACTTGCACTGCATGACTGCCTCCTCTTGCTTGAGGCTGTTGGCAATGACCGACCCGAGAACTGAAAGACAAGCGGGTTTGTTTGGCCTTGTGTTTGCTCTGTGGAATTGCCAAGTCCCCCCTGAAGAATGACGACTGTGGCTAGAAACTAAAAAGGTATTCATGTGTGACAAAAAAAAAGCTAAATTCTTCTTAGGATTGCCAGCTCTGGGTTGGAAAATACCTGGGGACCTTGGGGGTGGACCCAGGAGAGGGCGGGGTTTGGGGAGGGGAGGGGCCTCGGCATGGTACAATGGCACAGAGTCCACCTCTCAAAGCAGGCATTTTCTCCAGGGGAGCCGATCTCTGTCACCTGGAGATCAGTTGTAAAAGCGGGAGATCCCCAGGCCCCACCTGGGGGCTGGCAACCCTAACTCTTCTTGTTGGGTAGCTTCCAAGAGTGTATCTGGACTTGGATTGCTAGCTCCAGGTTAGGAAATATCTGGAGATTTTAGGGGTGGAGCCTGAGGAGGGCAGAGTTTGTGGAGGGGAGGGACTTTAATGAGGTATACAGCTGTTACAGCAGCCATTTTCTCCAGGTGAATTGATCTCCATCGCCTTAAGATCTGTTGTAATAGTAGCAGAACCCCAGACACCACCTGGAAGTTGGCTACTCTAGTCTGGACCAGCCAATTTTCCTCATGACTCCCCCCCCCCATATTGGTCTGTCCAGCCCACACCTATAGCCACAGTGTTTATGTTCTTCCAAGGTTTACACCAGCCCCCCCATGGCACCCATCAACACCTTTCTGGGTGCCGCCAAGTGTTTTGAGAAAGTGGGCGTGGCCAGGTGGGGCTTTTGTCCAGTGAGGCTTTGGATTGGCTATTGGAGATATGACTGGCTGCGTAGATTTTTAAAAAAATGTTGCTTTGGCAGCAGCTGCCACCACAGCACAACGATCTGCCTTGTGACTGAAGGTGAGCTGTGGCAGCCATTGTGTGGCTGGCTTAGGGTTGCCAAGTCACGGCGGGGGATCGTATATCTTCGCAGAATCCGTGCCGCGGGGATGGTGAGACGCATTGCACGCGCCGTCGCCAGGATTTGATGCAATACGTCACTCTGGCCACTGGGCTCCAAACAGCCCCGTTGCCAGAGCGACGCGTAGCATCATGTCCTGGCGACGGCGGTGCAACGTGTCTTGCTGTCCCCGCGGCACGGATTCTGCGAAGACATGCGGATCTCCTGCCACGATTTGGCGAGATTTGGGAGCCCTAGGCTGGCTCTACATTTTGAAGCAGCCGTTTTGTGGCAGTTGGGTTGCCAGGTCCTTGGCTCTCTCTGGTGGGGTGGGTGGGAGGGAGCTCTCTGGGAGTGTGGGGGTGGGGCAATGTCACTGCACGCGATATCCCGTGTGATTATGTCACTTCTGTGTGATGTCATCACACCGGGGACATCATGCTGGAATCTGGCCGTTGGGGGTGGGGCTTCCCCCCACCGGCCAGTTGGCTGGCAGCGAACAGGAGCCTGTGAAATTGGGGGATCCCCCACTTCCACTGGGGGGCTGGCAACCCTATGTGGGAGCCATTTTGTGGCTGGCCCCATAACACTATGTCAGAATTCCAAAGATACAAATGGGCTTTTCCTAAGAAGGAGCATAAAATCATAGACTTGGAAGGGACCTAAAGGGTCATCTAGTCCAACCCCCTGCACAAGGCAGGAAATTCACAAATACCTCCCCTCCCCACACCCCCAGTGACCCCTGTTCCATGCCCAGAAGATGACAAAAAATCTCTGGCCAAACTGGCCTGGAGAAAAATTACTTCCTGACGCCAAAGTGGCAATTAGCATTGGCATCTCAAATAGTTTTTATGTACTAGACAAGAATCGAATCTCTCTTCTCTGCTCACATTGAATGAATTGTAATTATTCCTTTTCATGCTATATTGAAGGTTCTAATGCTAATTTATATCCGTTAAGACGTGCGTGATATTTGCAGCTATGTTTGTATTTATCTTTTGCTGTTCTTTGTTGATTGCACTACATTCTATTGTCAGTTTGTAGTATTGTTATATTGTTCAATAAAATTAAAAAAAGAAAAAGGAAAATCTGATGCAAATATTAGAAGTTCTGAAAGTTAATTAAAGGTTATGGTCACAATTACATTTAGAGAAGAGTGCTTAGTCCTGCTGATTTCAATGGCTGTGTAACCCTGTGTTGCATCATGGTCTATTAATAAAATGTAACTACTGACCTTTAAGAAGATGTTCGGTATCAATGTTATTTTTTAACATCCAAAGTTTCTATCAAAATGGCTGTCTGGCAAAGACAGTGCCGAACTAACCTAATCCTGTGTGTTTCCTGTTCCTTAGCCCTAGCAAAAGCAATACTACAGGCTCACTGGGAGATTGGTGGCGGGAAATCATTCTGTCAGTAGGTTACAGCTCATTAGAGACATACCCACCATCATTAACCTAAGTCTTTCTCTTTGCATTTGTTTTGTCCTGTATACAGTTCTCCCCGCACATGCCATTTTGTCCCCCCCATTTAACAAGAAATGGACACACAGAAACACCAAAGGAATGCGCCTAACCTGAATCTTGCCCATATATTGCCAAGTTCTTGGGGAAGTTGCCGAGCTCGTAGTTGAATACATCCATGGTTTGGAGTGTAAGCCGCGTTTTTCCTTCAGTAAAACACTCAAAGATACGGGTTTCTGCCAGGGCTGCCAGCGTCTGGTTCATCTTCAGCTTCGTCCACTGGGGGAGGATGTGGAGCAGCAGGTGTGTGCTGAAAGTCACTCCAATGACAGCGGCACATTTCACCACCATCTGCTCTGAAGGGTTCATGTTGTCTATCTTAGACAGAGCAACCCCTATCCAAAGAAAGCAGACAGAAAAAAAGTTGGGATGTTTAAGAAGTTTACCTTGACTTCCAGAAAGCTTTTGATAAAGTTCCTCATCAAAGGCTCCTAAGTAAGCTCAAAAATCATGGGATAGAAGGACAAGTCCTTTTATGGATCAAAAACTGGCTAATTAAACAGAGAGTGAGTATAAATGGGCAGTTCTCTCAGTGGAGGGGGGTAAGCAGTGGGGTACCGCAGGGATCAGTACTTGGTCCACTGCTTTTTAAATTGTTCATTAATGATTTGGAGTTGGGAGTAAGCAGTGAAGTGGCTAAATTTGCGGATGATACGAAGTTGTTCAGGGTGGTGAAAACCAGTGAGGATTGTGAGGCACTCCAAAGGGATCTGTCAAAGATGGGCAAGTGGGCGTCAACATGGCAAATGGGGTTCAATGTGGCCAAGTGCAAGGTGATGCACATTGGAGCCAAAAATCCTAAATATAAATACACGTTGATGGGGTCTGAACTGGCAGAGACTGATCAAGAGAGAGATCTTGGAGTTATAGTAGATAACTCACTGAAAATGTCGAGACAGTGTGTGACTGCAATAAAGAAGGCCAATGCTATGCTGGGGATTATTAGGAAGGGTATTGAAAACAGATCAGCCAATATCATAATGCCCCTATATAAATCTATGGTGCGACCTCATTTGGAATACTGTGTGCAATTCTGGTCACCACACCTTAAAAAGGATATTATAGCTTTGGTTGGGCGGCTAAAAGGAGAAATGTGTAGGTGGGGCTGAGAGAGCTCTGAGAGAACCACTCTTGAGATAACAGCTCTGAGAGAACTGTGGCTTGCCCAAGGTCACCCGGCAGCTGCATGTGGAGGAGTGGAGAATCAAGCCCAGTTGTCTCAGATTAGAGTCCACGCTCCTAACCACTACACCAAACTGGCAGTAGTGTCCCACATATGTGGACTTTACAAATGCCACATGGGAACAATAGAGTGGTCAGGATCTATAGACAGGTTCTAAGTGTCAATCTTAGCTGAGAAAAGGATCTTTTGCCCAATGACCCTTGTGTACTGTTTTTGTTCAGGGAATCAACAGGCTGGAAGATCATGAACAGGGTGAGAATAAATGGCAAGGAGGACAAATAAAGTGGAAAGCAGAGGTAACAGAAACAACATGCCAGAGAAGGAGGAGGAGGAGGAGGAGGAAGAGGAAGAGGAGATTGGATTTATACCCCACCTTTCACTACCCAAAGGAGTCTCAGAGTGGTTTACAGTCTCCTTTTCCCTTCCCCTCCCCACAACAGACACCCTGAGAGGTAGGTGTGTCTGAGAGAGCTCTTTTGAGGACCGCTCTTGAGAGAACAGCTATGAATAGACTTGTGACTGACCCAAGGTCACACCAGCAGCTGCATGTGAAGGAGTGGAAGACTATGGTTGGGCGGCTAAAAGGAGAAATGTTTTCAAATTATATATTTACATTCTTTATAGTCTACCTTTTTTGATGAAAAAGTAAGCAGACCTGAAGGCTGGAAGAAAGAGTGGCGCTACAGAGGTCAGCAACCAATGCAAGGTGGTGACCCACGTTAAGGTGGTTGAATCCAGTTGTAAAAGAGAGATTCTCTAAGGCAGACAAAGACCTTGAAACTCTATGTTGGTCTCATCCGATATGAAGCAACTTGGAGGACTCTACCTGGTCTACCTGACACAGTTGGTGCACCAGTTACCTCCCATGTCTCTTGTTCCAGCCAGATACCAGTTATTTCTCTTGGACTTTCTCTCTGCCCCATATGGGAAAATCTTGTACATCACAAGATTTTTCTTCAAATTGAATTTCTTCAGATTACAAAACTTTCTTCAGAGACTACAAGGCAACAGACTACCTCTCTCCGGGAACTCGTGTACGGGTCTGGCCAACCCCAGCGTGAGTAGGTGAGCACGAGGGTTTGAGTTGCATGTAGGGAGGTGCAGCCTTTTCCTATGGCTCACTGCTGACCTAAAAGTTCCCTAAACTTATGACCAGGGAGGGGGAGTAGGACTCTCACGAGGTGGAAAGGGCGCATGCATGACATGATGTTGATTGCGCTGCGTTGTTGTGAGGAGTGGCCCAACAAACAGGGTTCCTTGGCCCTTGTGGGCAGCAGGACCAAGTGATTGTGGAGATAGCTCCCTGTTTGTGACTGGTAGGTGGGACCTGGGCCAAACCAGTGGGCGTCTAAAAAGTAAAGGTAAAGGTTCCCTTGCTCGAAAGCCAGTCGAATCCGACTCTAGGGTCGCGGTGCTCATCTCCGTTTCAAAGCCGAAGAGCCAGCGCTGTCCGAAGACATTTCCGTGGTCATGTGGCCGGCATGACTAGACACCAAGGTGCACGGAACGCTGTTACCTTCCCACTGAAGTGGTACCTATTTATCTAATTGCAATTTCTTGCTTTCGAACTGCTAGGTTGGCAGGAAGTGGGCGTCTGGGCAGCCTTTATTACCTCAAGAGCAATGCTCCCTCTAAGCCAGTGTTGTTGAACTCATTTGTTACGAGGGCCAGATCTGACATAAATGTCGCTTTGTCGGACCGGGCCATGTGTTCCATAAAATGTCACGGGGTACCGGAGATATAAACTGTATAGAGGACAGCAGCTGGTAAGTTCCGAGTTGGTGTATCCTCACTGCAAGGCTCCATGGGCTGGGACGGGGGTGCAAAGGAAAACCCACATGGGCGGACTGGAGAGCCAGAGGTGCAGCACTGGGCAGACGCTCTCACGTAGCTTGACTGCTGCAGATGAAGCCATGCTGAAGCCACAGTCTGAGTGGCTCCGCCCACTCCACCCCCAAGCAGCCTCCTGTTTCCTCCCTTGCACTAGTTGCTCATGGGCCACATAAGAGCCCTGGACGGGCCCATTCCGGCCCCCAGGCCTTATGTCTGACACCACCACTCTAAGCTGTGGAGCCTTGGGAACAAAACTTCTACTTTGCGAGCTACTGGAATTAAAGTTGTGAGCGAGCAATTTGGCTACTGCATAAATCAGTTTGCTCTGGAGCCCTCCTTCCTGAGCTAAGATAAAAATTTGTGAGCCGGAGGCTAAAAAACTGTGAGCTAGCTCTCACCCACTCAGCTTAGAGGGAGGGCAGGAGTTCACACAGATTGACCTCACCTTTCATAGTGGGAGGAAGCATTATGTTGTGCAGCTTCACGTTCTGCCTGATGGTGCAAATATATGATACCCTCTCTTCATCGTCAAGGAGTTTGGAGCCTTGCGGCTTGAGAGCGGTGGTGGCTTCACGGAGGAGAGGAAAAAAGGATGAAGCAACAAGGTTAACAGAAGGTCAAGCTTGTGGTTGGCAGGCAGGTCCCACCTGCAGACAGACACTACCGGGAGGGCAGAGAGGATGGGAGCTGTTAGCCTCTCTGAGCTGTGGGCCCCAGGATAAAAGGAGGTCTTTAGAAATAGGGGTAATTTTATCACAGCCTAAGATAAAGCAAATGGTTTTATTTTTTAAGGCACATCAGAACTCGTCTATGTTGACTGTATCAAGGTTGTGGAGATGCAGGAGTTCTGTGTATGAGGCTGGGATAGGGTTCCCAAGTCCGAGCGGCGCTGGAGCGGGGGACTCCAGCGCTGCTCCAGGAGTGCACGCACGCAAAGCACGCACGCGCCGCAACCATGTCACCTGGAAGTGACGCGACCACGCTGGGCACGCTGGGGGCGGGGCCACGACCATCCGAGGGAAAACCATAGAGTTTTCCCTCGGATGACTGTGGCCTCATCCCCAGTGTGCCCGGCGTGGTTGCATCACTTCTGGGTGACGTGCACGTCGCGTGCTTTGGGGGTGGGGTTCCCCCCGGGG